GTTACAAATTTCACACAGGGCAGTCCTGAAAATTGGAAGACGATAAAGAAAGATGCAAAGGTATTCGATTTCAGAAGAAATATGCGAGCGTGTATCCTATGAACAAATCGAGAACATTTTTTGGCCAAAACTGACCAGCGAACACGATGTCGTTACAAAAATCACGAAAATCTGCAGAGAAAAAGAAATCATCATAACTATGATATGAGTAAGATCTTTGATGTTAGCAGAGGATATGAGGTGATTTCGGCAATGCTGAAGATGCGGCACATTAGGTCATTGGACGAAGTAAAAGTATGGAAACAATTCCTAAAATGTAAGCAGCAACAAGCTTTTGTGGCACAGTTAGATGAAAGTGATGCGGAAGAAGCGATTCAGCCGCCGCCGGATCTCCCTGAGTAGGAGCCATTAAGGCGACTGCACAGATTACGGCCACTCCCAGACATGCAAGTTGGGAGGAAGCTGTGTTCTAAACTGACAATGGCATTACTTTTCGATAAGACTAAACCAGCCATATTAACAATGAGCACTGCGGACTTAATAATCATTTCAATTCGTGTTCTAATGGCCGATCCTATTAAAGCCTAAAAGCGCAAATAAATAAATAAAAAGCAAATAAGGATCGTCAGCTGCGGGTGTAATGCGGTTGCGCTGCGGCAAGATATTGATGTTAGCCGAAGTGCATCCCAGTATCTAACTACGCCGAGTTTTTTTCTACTTCGTCTTGAATGTCTTTAGTAAGCAACTTTAAAATTCTCAAGATCGGCAGCGAAGAAACAAGTGCTCCAGCGAGGTGCGTAACCAAGAAATCATACTTGTTCGGACATTGAATGGTAATTATATATTTCAAGTCCACTTCATGTCTTTTTTTTTTGCAATTTTCTAGGCTCATAGTTAGATAAATTACAATCAAAAAATTCGGCCAAGCAAAATTGGAATTTTCTGGAATTGATATGTAAAATGGGTTATTGAAAATAATTCCTTTGGCTAAAAAGTTGCTATAAAAACTTTCAACTTGATTAACGGCATTACATCGACATTCAGTTCATAAGTGTGGCTGAAAATCTCATTCCTTTCTGGCCACGCACCTCGTTGGCATACTTATTCCACACCGCCGCCGACTCTTGGAACTCAATACTTACAGAGATAAATCACATCCGAAGGAAAAAAAGGCGGCATAGTTATAATTTGGACTAGTTTCCAAATCAACCGCCACGCAACCTCGATCGCCTTACTTGGCGCTTATAGCTTTGAGGCACCACAAGAATCGCATCGCATGGAGACCTTGCCGGAGTAACTGTATCACCGTGCTATATATGGCAGTCGCCGCACCAACTGCCACTGTTTTTAATAAACGACTATCAAACCTGGTTGGTTATAAAAATGAAATCAGCGGAGTAGTCAAAAATAAATACAAAATGTCGCAAAAAAATTGTCACTTTTAGTCGTTGATAACTTTTTATCCAAATCTTTTCTAGACCTAAATCGTTCATTTTGAAAGTTTACATTGAACTCAAACTTCCTTTTTTAGATAGATCTTGTATCTTTGGCGACAGCCGTGAGACAATGTAGACTAATGTAGCTTTAGCGCTCCA